TCAGCAAGAATATATATATACAGCTTCCTTAGACAACATTTCTCTTTTGTAACAACACAGAGTAGCATAGCCTCATACCCAGCATAAGTAGCTTTCCCCTTACTCTTACTCTTAGTATCCTATCTGTATTGACTAGGAACTTATATTTCTATCTCCCTTAAGTTATCTATACTGTCTTCTCTGAACTATATTGAAAAATTCCTATTTATTGGTTGTTCTTATCTGCTTGTAACCTCTTTCCCATTCTTGTCTTGTACAGTTCTGACTCTTAACCCTTCTCCTGTTTCTTGCCCACTCTTTGCTTTACGTATAGGGGATTAATTAATATTTAATTTAATTTTAAATTTTTATGTCTTTTTAAACTTTTATTACCCTTTTTAATCGCCATTCAATCTTTACATCTTTTATATTTTTTAAACATCCTATGGGAACCATTATCTCTACTTCTGGATTAATCTACTATTTTCTTTTACCTATAACTTTACCTTCACTTCCTTCTACCTGATTTCCCTCCTTCTAGACTTTTATCACAGACATATTTAAACCTATTTATATCACCAACTTGTATCACCACCAAACACTCTAACCAGTGTCAAAATTAATTTTCTAGCACTACATATAATTAAACATAATCATTTTACCATACATACATATAGCTTTAGAACCATTAAATACTTAATTTCTAGCTTCCATTTAAACATCTCCCAAACTTGACATCACTCTATTAAATTTCATGATTAAATTTCAAGCACTACATATAATTAAACATAATCATTTTACCAATACATAAATCAAACTATAGAGCCCTAAATGCTTGAGTTCTAGCTTCCATTTAAACAACTCCCAAACTCAACATCCCTCTATTAAAATTACCATTTTACCCTAAATTTATCATCACAATTTCCCTTAAATATAGTTAATCACTAAACCCTGATCAATATTAATTCTTTAATAACAATTCATTACATTACCTTTATACTCCATTTGGCTTATACATTTCCATCACTACCCGTTTCCAATATTAATTTATTTTTTAAAAATTGATTTTCATCCCCAAAAATAATTAATCACCTAATAACACATTCTAGTCCCCCTGAATTTACACCAACAGTTCAAATTCTACGTCCATATGTAGGTTTTATTTCATTTTTCCATCAAATCCTATATCTAGGGTCTTTCTATCTTTCATAAGGCTTTCTTTTTCTCTTTAACATTAGCAGTCTGCACTTCGCTCTCAACATGTCTACATGCCTGCGTTCTTTAAACCTCCCTTGCCTTCCATAGCCTCCCTCTCTAATTTGCAACCATTCTATATTCCCAGGGCCTTTGTTTCTTTTAAATTTCCACACCCTTCTTTTCCTTTTTTTAACCCTTTTATTTCTCTCTCGTTCAGGTCTTAAACATTGTCCTTTTTCTTTTAACAAATCCAATTCCAATTTAACATCAGGAAGTTTTTTATTTTCCAAGTTCTTCCCTATTTTTCTTGATATAGTTGGAATAGGATCTATAGATCACATCCATTTCGCTTATCAAGTATTCCGCTTTTAAAACTGTAACTGGAGCTAATGCTCTTCTTTTAGATTCTCTCCTTTTGTCTCAGGGACCCCTTGGAATCGGAGGACTAGGTTAGCTCTCTCCATTTGCAGCTGCAAAATTTGAAATTCACCTGAAGTTTGTTTCTTTTCCAGCATTTGCACCTTTTTCTTGACTTTTTTGGTGTTTGTGTCCACTTCCTTGACTTTTTCCACTGTTTGCTCCGTTATTTTTGTGATTTCCACTAGTTGGAGCTGTTGAGCTTTAAGGTTTTGATTCAGTACAGTTAGCTGCTGGTTAACGTTGGTCATTTGGTCCAGCAGAGGGTGGATAGTTTCTGCTAGCATTTTGGAAAGCTCTGAGGAGTCTTCCATCCAGGGACTCAAGCCTCCTGTTAGTTTCATTTTTGCTAGCTTGTCTTTCTCTGTTTTCTTCCCCGCCATGTTTGAGGGTTATTTATTTTTAGTAAAAGTTGCTAAAGTCTCTGAAATTCATCCCAGGGCTTATCTACGCTCTGGTAAGTCTCTTAAAGCATATTTCCACATTTTTACTTCTGCTCCCCCCTTGGCAAATCGTTGTTTTGTTTATGCATGTGGGAGGAACCCCACCCCCGCTCGCTCATCTCGCCGTTCCCAGGGGGGGCTTTCTTTTAGTTTTTTGGCATCTCTTTTTTACTTGACTCACTGTTCATTGTTAGTCCGGGGACCTCACTCGATCGCGGTTAAATCGCCCGATCTCCAACGCTTGTCCAGGCTGGCAGCTCTGGATCCGTACGGACGCAAAAGCGGCAGGACCATCAGGGCGGAGGAGTGCCTCAATTCCACAGCATCTTGCTGCGGAAGAGGCTACCCCTCAAAAGCCCCATGGTGAGGAGCCTTTCGCACCAGCTCCATGGGGGGGGCAATGGACAATCGAGCCCCCTCCTCACGCGGCACTCAGATCGTCTCCCCGGAGGTCTGGGAGAGACGTCTGCTAGCATGTCGCCATTAACCGGAAGCTCACCATAAAGGTAATTTTGACACCTCCAACACATTTGTTCAGCAGAAGAGGAATACAGTGTGGCAGCTGGTGTGGGTGAAAAGGTTCATCAAACAGGACTACACCATTAGTTTTGCACTGGCAAATATGAGGCCCAAGGCAGTTTAGTGAGAGTCAGGTGTACAAGTTGGTACAAGGTTTTTCTGCTCCATAGCATGATTACTAGTTGTCAGATGGATTATGCTCTTCTCTGAAATACGTCACTATTGCTTAGTACTTGCAGGAAGTCTCATTACTTAGACCATCAGTCCTTGGAGATCTTCTTCTATCTTTGTCCATGAGGTTCTCCATTTCCTGTATGTTCCCTGTGACCCTGTCTACAGGTCTCCTTTCCCTAAGCCAGTGATATTCAACCCATGACTAAGAATCCTCAGGTGGGCCATGGCATCCCTCGTTCTGGGTTGTGACTTCGTGTAGAGCTGCCATTATTTTTGTGGAAGGACCCGCTGTTAGGAGTACATGTATTCAGAGCAAGGTAGTTCTGCCTCCTGCCTCTCCTTGGGCTAGGAATGCCAGACCCCCTGGTGCAGGCAGGGGGGGCAGTTTCAGGCACTCCTCTCTGCACCTCATTACCCCCCCCATCCCAAACAGGCAAGAAGCCAGAAATAAATGTGACGTGCCTATGTGACCTGGAAGTGACGTGGGCACATTGGTGATGTCAGGGGGGGTGACACTCTGTTTTTTGGGCAAAACTGTATGGTAGAAGCTAATTCTACCATAGAGTTTTGCCCACCGACACTCCCAACATGCCGGCGCCACTTTAGGGTCATGTAGGCACGTCATGTTTCTTTTCAGCATTCCTCCCCACTCCCGGTAAGGTCACCCCCATCCCCCGCCAGCAGGTCCAAGGGACCTGGCAAGCCTGCCTTGGGCAAACCCTGAGAGGACCAGAAGGTCCTCTCCCCACCCACCCCCAGTTTGTCTCCACCAGCAGCAGGGGACTAGGCCACCATGTGAGAGGTCTCCTGCCAGAGCAGAAGACCTGGCAGCCGTGCTGGCTGTTCTCGCCAGCAAATGAACTGACTTCTGGGGGGGGGGGTTGTTTGGGATGGTTTTTTGGTTGTTTTTTCCTGTTGTTTTTTTAAGGAGCTGAGCTTAAGGCTATTTGGCAGACCACCCAAGTTCCTTCATTGTCCTACATTTGGAGCATTGACAGGGAAATACACATTCACTTCCCATAATTCTTTTCTTTCAAGAAGTTGAGGGCAGCATATATGGTTCCATCAGGCACTCAGAGGCTACCTTCTCCAGAACCTTGTCTTGTGTACAACAGGCCACCAGACATCACTACGGGCCAAGGCTTTCATGCGCACCACCCCAGGATGCGCATCGTGAAGGGCAGTGAGGACCCGTCCCCGTAAGGGCTTAGGGATGACCACTCTGTTTCCCCACAGCCTTTGTGGATGGACAGTTTGTCCTTTCGGGAAACAAAGGGAGTAAAGTCCGGATCCCCTTTGGCCACGGGCCACCCCCTCACCACCCAGTCCAAGACCCGGCAGAGTACCTTGTCCTTGGAGGTGCAGTGAGCCACCTCCTTGACGTGGATCAGCTGATCCAGGAGGGACTCCAGAAGCACGATCTGGTGAGCAGGAGCCAGATCCGGGTCGCAGACTGGCAGCGGCGGGTGGCTCAGGGCGTCAGCATGGCCCATCGCCTTCCCCGGGTGGTGAACAAGGGTGTAGGAGTACCCAGCCATGGAAATAGACCAGTGGAGCACCCGGGGGAGAAATCATCTGAGGGGTCTGGCGGTCAGGGGCCAGGAGGCCAAGTAGCGGCTTGTGGTCCGTGAGGACCATGAACAGGCGCCCATACAGATAGTAGTGAAATTTCTTCACCCCCACTACAATAGCCAGCGCCTCTTTATCTATTTGCGTGTAGTTGCGCTCAGCCGCAGAAAGAGTTCGTGAATAATAGGCGACGGGTACCTCGCAGCCAGAATTGGAGACAGGTTGAGCAAAAAATTAGCTGGAACAACAGGTCACAAACAGGTAAATCAGGAGAAGGGAAGGTTCTACCCTTTTCGCTTATACATCCCTATTGCTGAAAAAAATCAAACATCCTAAGCTTTAAATACAAACCGGGCAGGTGAGAAACCCTTGTTGACGTTTAGCTTGTCTGTTAGAGTTAAAGGGGATTTATTCTGACATGAGCAGTTTGGAATACTTGGCAGGCAGGGAATGGTTGTGGGACATGCAGGGAAATGGTAAGCAGAGAAATGGGGAGGGAGGGTTGCATGGAGAAATCTTTTAAAGGGAAGACGGGGTAGAGAATATATTACAGGACAGAACTGAGTGAGCCTTTGCTGCTGGAAGGCTCTTCCTGGGAGGCTGTCTGCAGATTGAAGACTGGGGACACTCCTTCCAGGAGACAGGACACCCCTCTGCCCACATTCTGATCTGTGTGTGATTTGTTTCTCCCATCTCTGCTAGATCTACCTGTCGTGGAAGAGTGGCCCAGGCGAGGTGAAGCACTGGAAGGATATGATTGCACACCCCCGACAGGCTGTGGCACAGTGGCACCAGCTGAAGGCCTGAGAGGCAGAGGCAGAGCTGCTCTGGATTTCAGTGCACCCAGTCAACGTTTATTGGCCACATTCTCACTTCTTTTTGCACAACAGCTGCACCCAGGTTTCCCCCAGGGGGAAAAGCTCGGGAATGACCAGAGGCTAAGGGAGTAAACTTGATACCTGTACCAAACTCTGGGAAAGTGGCGCTGGTGTCCATTTCAGCACACAGCACCATCAGGAGCACTGTTACACCCAGCCTCCTGCTCTAGCCTTTCCTTCAGACTCCTTATGTAGAAAGAACGAGAGAGAGAGAGAATGAGAGAAAGAGAGAGAGAGAGAGAGAGAGAGAGAGAGAGAGAGAGAGAGAGAGAGAGACCAGCCAGCCCTCAAGTTGGAAGTGGCCTCTGCACGGATTTGTTTGGGTTCCCAGTGTGGCCATGGCCCTGGCATGATGGGAGGAGAGGGGTCTACTACCGCCATACAAGACTTCCTATGAGTTCTTCCAGCCAAAAGCCCCTGTGGAATGGCACCCTGTTCCACCAGGAGGAAGCCAGCCCCTTACTGGCGGCTGCCCCGTGTGAAGAGGGGGAATGGCAAGGAGATCACACACTCTGTTTCAGTGAGCTTATTTCTTTATAATTCAATAAAACTTGTAAGAGTAATAAGAATATAAATAACAGTGCTGGCTAGACCTTTGTCCTGGCCAGGCCTCTCAGCAAAGGGCTGGGGGTGGGAAGAGGAGTCATGGTGCTCCTTACAGTCCCCTGTGCGTTTGTTGTGTGTGTGCGTGTGTGTGTTGTAACTATGTGTGCAGGACATTTCATTTGTCACTTGTGTTCTCTTTCTCTCAGCCCTAGAGAAGTTGTTTCCCTGCCTAAGAGGTTTTGATTGACAGCACCGCAGGTATTGGTGGAGAGCTTATGTCGTGCTGAAAAGGAGGAGCATTGGAGCTTTGGACTGGAAGGGGAAAGGGATGGAGAGGAAGTAATTTCTCTTAGCCACTCTGTGGCACGTAGAATTGGGATCCACACATTGTGAGTCCCAAATGGAAGGGTGTGATCACAGTCTCAGGAGTAGCCTAATCTTTCTCTCCCTTGCTTCTCGGCAGAGGGGGAA